AGTTGGGACATAAATCGGATGGTGTTGTGTCCCTGATGGAAAGAAGCTCGTCCATCGTGAAAGTAATCCGAGTAGGGTCGCAGTAAACAGAATTAAATACTAAAAACAAACACAAAAGTGCGCACCAACACACCGAGGCGACCGTTCGTGGCGCCATCTTGATGTGAAAAAAATATGATAAAAAATAATTAGGTTTTAAGAATAATTTCAACTGCACAAAGGGTTAATTTACTATTATGTATAAACACAAAGATGTTAGATGGATCAAAATCTGATTATGTTGGATTAAATATGAATCAGACTTTCTTTTAGAAGGAGACAAATAAAATAAATTCTACGTTTTAATCACAGAAGTACCAAAACCACAGCAGTTAACCCTTTCATTACCTGCGTCTCTACCTGCAGATTCCATAATGTGTTCACACATGAAGGATTTTCTCCTGCAGGAACGTCACCATCTGTGGACACAGGAGCACACAAATAGAAATATATCACATGAGTGTAATTTGTAAATAATTCTTCATTATAATGAAATATAAACCTTTTATCGGCACTCGTAATTGAGGGTAAAATATAAATTCATGGGCAGAGCAGATGATTTTCAGAGAAAAGCTGAAAAAAGATCATTCCAAAAGGGACTTGTTACTGCATCTAACGAGGATTTCATCACATTTTCTGAGATCTTACAATTGTACTCTTCACGTGGGTTTGATTGAGTGAAACAGACGCGTGTGTTCTGTTGATTAATTACAATTAAACGCAACATCTAAAGTTAACCTGAAGGTGAAGGGTTAAATCATGACGTCACTGCTCTCAGTCCACAGTTGTGGTGCTGAAATCAGATGGTGTGTGTGTGTGTGTGCACGTGTGTGTGTTGGGTAAAATACTGCTCCATCTGGTGGAGGAAATAAAAAGCCAAACAGAAAGTGTCCGTGTGTCAGGGAACTGCTTCGACCTGTTCAGACGTGTAGTCGTCGGCTTCGTCCAGCAACCACGTGGTGGCTGTGATGTAATCTCCCAGTGGAATGTGTGTGTGAAGTACCACAGCAAGCATGTGGAGCCAAACGGGGGGTGGGGGGGTTATCAGGATACTAAACACACACTATATATATCCTGCTACTGTGGAAGAACCCTCCCTGTTTGAATCCAGTGTCAACAAGATGAGGTGTCAACAGAGTTTCTCACGTCGTTCAGGAGTCAGATCGGTTTTAACTTGATCTGGATTCACACCCGTGACCTCGTGTCTAATTGACAACAATTCTGCTGCATTTTTGATTTTGATTTGAGGATTGCATCAGAACAAGCGCTCCCACTTCCTCCCTCCACTAATGACAACGCCTTGTTACCGCTTGTGATGCAGAGCAGCGGAAATCTGTTGCCGAGGGAAGAGCAGAGAAAAGTTTAAGGACAAATAAAATGAAACCAGAAGAAAAAAACAGCCGAACGTGGTTAGAACCAAAAATAAATAAATAACAACTTCACTGAAAATCCCTGTCGCACGACATCAACAACGAATCAGGCACGATTATACTTCTTGTTGTCGGAACGACAGATTCGTGATCTTCAATGCAAGAAAGTCCTGATTCTCATTTTCCCCCAAAATCGTGTAGCTCTACTTTCATCCATCCATTAGCCTCCTCTTGTGTGAGCTCGTGTTGCAGAGGCAGCCGGACATGCCCCCTCCACAGCCACACTTTCTAGCTCTTCCTTGATTATCCTGAGGTGTTCCCGGGGCAGATGGGATATGTAGCCCCCCCCTCTGGGTCTACCCCTGGTCCCAGTAAACCTCTAACAGAAGGAAGCATTTTAACTCTAAGTATCTATCTTTGAAAGTAGAGCGGCACCATGTTACACTGAGGATAGAAGCCTCTTGTTATGAAACCGACACGTCTCTCGGCTCATTGACTCATTTGTTTTCCCACTGAGCTGCGGCTGAAGCTCTGTCTCGGCCACTAGCTGCTGCTGCTGGTGTCCTCCTCGCTCAGCTCGCTGCTCAGAGCTGCTGCTGCTGCGGAGCTATCGGCTCGCTCCATAGAAACACACAGAGAGCAGCCTGGTGCTGAAAGGCTCCAGCGCTGAGCGGAGCTGTTTCACAGACGGGGCGAGGCTGTTAACTGCTTCACTGCTGAAACCTGCAGCCGGGGAGGGGCAGAGAAATCACTTCCTGATCGAGACGGACACAATCAACCAAACCAGTGTTTCTGTGTTGGACGTTTATGAATAAACTTCTTAATCTCTCGTTTGTCTTGATTTTCAGGAATCAACCTCATCAGGACCAGCGTCGCCTTTTTGTTGGGGGCGTTAACGGCACGAGCTGAAGTTCCTGAGCGAGACATTTCACGTAAGATGCTACAACTGTCCTCCAGCGCTGAACCAGCAGATCTGTGTCACAGTCCATCATGAAGTATTCTGTGAAATTAACTGAGAAATAGTTTTTACAGAAAACATTTCAGGCTTTAAGAGAGAAAAGAATCAGTTGGAGATGACAAGAACTTCAGAGATGAGCTGAACACAAGCTGCTTCATTTTGATAAATGCAGCGTCCTCGACACCACCGCTGACCTGAATCGTCTTCTCTCTTTCACAGACGTCCACAACTTGTCTCAGTGACCTCAGCTTCTGAACCATGATGGAAGAGGACATCATCGAGGACCGGGCCAAGCTGAAGCAGGGCCTCGTCAAAGTGCTCCAGTGCGTGGCCACCATCTCCTCAGCCGCAGCTGTGGTTAACCCCATTTTTGGCGTGGCCGGCTCCCTGATCCGGGTGGTGCTGCACCACGTCGACGACGAGGACATCCGCACCCTGAAGAGAGAGTTTGGCACGGTCCACCGGGGGCTGGACCAGCTGTCCCAGCAGAATCGCAACACGCTGGTGCAGATCAAGAAGGAGACGCTGGACGGCCAGTACTGTCAGGTGGAGGAGAACCTGAAGAACCAGTTCAGAAAGTTCATGGAGATGGTGGAGGCGCGGCCCGAGCACCGCGAGCGCAAGAAGGAGGACTACGAAGTGAGCTACGCCAATGACTTGGGCGACCAGAACCTGCACACGCTCTACGATGGCGTGGTGGGAAAACCGAAGCTCTTCAGCAGACCCATCCTGGAGGTGTACCTGAAGCACTCGCAGGGCGACCGCCGCACCATGGAGCGACTCTGCACGCGTCTCACCTACCTGTTCTGCATCGGCCTCATCGCCCTGATGGGCTACGCCGCCGTCATCGGGGACGATGAGGAGAGCCTGACGGAGGAGTGGGCCGAGAAGATGGAGCACGTGCAGGAGAAGATGCAGGAGGCTCTTCACAGGTGCCAATGAAGAAGCGGTGATGAGAAGTCTTCAGGACTCGCAGGTCCACATTCCCGCTGTAACGTCCTCCTCCTAAGTTTCCTCCGCCTCCTTTAAGCACTTTGAATTTGCTAGAATTTGAGCAACAGTGTCACATTTTCAAAATCACATCAGTTTCTCCAAACCTGCATCTCTCCATGTTCCTCACATAGTTTCTCTCCAGGTGGAGGTAAAGTCAAGAAAATCAAAGTACAACGTCTATTTGTGATGGATCCGGAATCTGACCGTTTAAAATGATGACAAAAAAGATGAATCAGCTGTGGGATCATCTCAAATCATCTCGAATCTAAACTAGGAGCTAAATATCACATCTATAAATTGGGCTTCAGTGAGTGAGATCACAATCTGTCCCGCACCACAATGCACTTTTGGAAAATAACTGCTAATACAGCTTTTATTGTGAAATATGTTATTACACTACAAAGAAAAAGCCTGTTGAAATATACAAGTACTTCACTAACGAGTCAAGGCGGCTGCCATTGAACCTAACAACGCTACAGAGCCTCTTTGAAACTAAACAAAGTTCTATCTACGATCTATAACATGAAAAACGCTAAACAAGGAACAAATATAAAGTCTTGTGAGCTATGAATGTAACTACACCCATTTAATCATATGTTCGTCAGTCTGGCGTGTGATCACACACACACACACACACACACGTGAACATTGTATACGTCCTATGCATGGAGATCATGATACATTACACACACCTGTGGCCGTCGAGCGCTAATTTAAAATGCTGCTGTGCTGAGATATTTACTTTTTCTTCACTTTAACTGACATCATCAATACGAAAATGAAAAATTCAACACTAACAGTACAAGTTAAATGTACAACGGAGTATTAAGGTCACGTTGAAGAAAAGAAAATAATCCGATTTGAGAATGTCGAGAGGATAAAGTCGTAATTTAATTCACGTTACGAGTAAGTAGCCTTAAATTAGGACTTTGTTCTCATAATATTTGACTTTATCGTTGTAAATTTACAAAAATAAGTTCTTGTATGTTTATTCTCGATTTGTCAAAAGATTATTTTTCCTTTTTAAAAAAACGAGACGTGTTCCAACACTAAATAAACTGTCCACAGCAGATGCACTAAATCTAAACCAAATATACTGAGCTCCATGACGTTGTTTATTTTATACTGATTTTACTTTATCGATGTGGTTTCACCTTTTTTTCCTTCCCCTCTCCGTTCTACCGTCTCTATCGCTGCAGGAGCTGTGTTGTTCTAACACACGGATGCAATGATCAGTGGGTTTCTCTGGGTTTTGGTCAATAAAACATTGAGTTTTGATTATCTGGTTTATTCTCAGCATCAGTTTTACACTCAGCTCCTCTTCCTCTTGTCTCGTTCGTCCTCATCTGACCAACGTGCCTAAATGGGCTATTTTTGTATTATTTCTTTCAAGGGTTTTAGGCATATATTATTGTATAAGGCATTATTACTGAAAAGTTTGTGTTCTACAGTTAAAAAATAATGTTTGTAAATGTGCGTCGTGTTTTTTTTAGTGTTCAGCAGACCGGTGGCATCAGACGGGTTTGATCGCTGCAGCACGACTCTGTGTTAAACTGGTTTGAACGCCACGTCTCTTATTGTTACAACAGATTCTGTCTATGCTACGTTCATATAGTCAACGTGCTGCAGACCTCTTGAAATGTCTCATGTGTGAATATGTTGCCTTTTTTTGTTTCGCAGCACGATAAATAAACATGAGTGAATAAAACCGAGTTGATTCTTTCATTTATAAAAAAAAACAGCAGCAGTGTGGAGAAATATCCCAATATGAGTTAACGTTCTGATAAAGGATCAGTTCAGTGTGATAAAGGTGAAGTATTTGTAATTTAGAATAAACCGCCAGAGGATTATTTAATAATTGATGGTTACCTAATATTTGGATTACTAATTTATCACAGTATTAAAATCAGACATTAACTGTGTCAAACTGACCAAAAGTAGAAGTTTTAATTACTGTGAAATGTACGATGATGGCCATAAATATGTGGACAATGTACAGTTTGAGGTACAGCCCCTGTGGTTCCATTTAACATTTGAGAAGATGGTAATGAGTGTGCTTCTAACAGTTCTAACAGGGAAGACAGTTTTCAACATCATAATAATAATGTGTCAGTGTTGGACGGATGTGTGTTGAACACGGTTCGGAATGAGATGCTCAACAAAGACATGAGTTTAATGACTGGGTGTCCATGTACTTTTGGCCATATACTGTTTTTTGTGCCTGACGAAGACAAATGTGAATCTCAGGCTCAAAACCGGTGATAAAATATGAATAGAAATAAACTGTATGCATGAATTTGCACATGGCTTATATTATTTTAGTGTATAGTTGCAATTATCCTTATTTTCTAGGAAATATCACAGAGAGAAATATTTAAAACCCATTTGTCTCATTCTCGACTGTAAAATCAAATTGTGCAAATTTTATGACGGCATAAAAAAAATCTGGTTTCAAATATTTACATTTATACACAGTTAAATGTTTTTGTTTGATTCTTGTGTGAGTGAATCTGATCCAATTCTCCTACAACTGAATATTTATTCTGGGAAAATAAATTCAAATCTTTAAGGGGGAGTTGACAACACAATACTGGAATGTAAAACTAAAGTTCAGAAGATCACCAGAGAGGGACGGAAAGGTGTAATTTACTTGAGTGTACACAAGAGGGCGTGAGTACCTCTCTACGCCTACACTACACCTGTTCTCCCTGAGCTCCCTGAGGGCCCACAAGAGACATGAGGCATCGCACATGTGTGTCTTCACCCTGGACAGACACACACACTGTCTGCAGGGGAGCAACACACACAGCATCAGAAGAAGGGTTGTGTGGTGTGTGTGTGTGTGTGTGTGTGTGTGTGTGTGTGTGTGTGTGTGTGTGCGTGTGTGTGGCTGAGGTTAAGTACCTCTGGAATGAATGGACCTAATGCCCATCCAGCTGAACAGGTTTGTCTTACATCCTAGAGTGTGTGTGTGTGTGGGGGGGGGGGGCAAACAGGAAAATGTGCATAACAGGTGTTTGAAAATGCGCAAAGCTGAGAGAAGCTTCACCCGCAGACCCGCACTGACGCACGTCCTCTGTCATGTGATGGTGCTCAGTGTGTTTATCTCCTCATGACTTCAGAGAATCTAAGTTGTCTCCTGGGGGACACGTGAATCATTTCAGACACGAGAATTCAGTTTTACGCGCGCGGGGAGCTGGAATCAGCCACGAGCTGGAATCAGCCACGAGCTGGAGTCTTTATAGTTCACGTGTTGGAGAAGAAACGATTTGCGTAAAGGTTTTTTTTTTTTTTTTTCCTGGTGAGGGAGGTTCAGATTGGATTCAGTCAGGGCGCGTCGTGTGCGCACGGGTGGAGGAGATGTGCAGGTTTAAAGGGATCATCATCGTTTAGTCTTGGCACCGATAGAAATATCACTTTCGGTGCAGCATCACGTTTGAATGGGTTCTTAAATTGGATTTGTGGAGATAAGTCAGACTGGAGCTCGGTGACGCACGTCACATCACAAACAATGTGCGGTTCACAGCTGCGCTCATGACAAACACAATCTGAGTGAATTCCCTGCAACACAAGATATTCCAAATAAACTACAGATTGAGGGCGTGAGGCTCAGGTCGTGTGTAAACTGAATCCATGTCTGATCTGAGGTGTGTTGGTGGTTAGTGTCATCATGATGTGACATGGAATTGTTATTTTAACTCTGACAAAGAACAATGATGGTTTCTCATTGTCTTACCTCAAGTTTGGAGCCTTCCAGCAGCTGAAGCGCATTGTGGCGATGAGGCTTTTGCGCCAAGAGCGCAGGAGTCTTCGCTCAGAGCAAAACAAGACGTCCACAAAGAGTGGGGAATAATTCACCCACGAACAATATGACCTAATTTAAAATTAGCTCCGATTTGTCGGAAAGATGCTGAACCGTCTTTTCACGATGACACGAAGACTGAAAGGAGAAAAGAACCAACCGCATCTTCACCTCCTGCAGTTTGCGCTGTTTCTGTCTGTCTGTCTTTCTCTCTCCCCCCTCTCCCTCTCTTTCTCTGTGTCTCTCTCCCTCTCTCTCTCTTTTGCAGGGAACAAGTGCGCATCGCCTCCTCTTTTTTTCTGGCTCCTGTTCTTGGACCCTCCTCCGTGGATCCACAGAGAACCGTGGGAATTTTCTCAAACTCGAAGGAGAAAACCGAAACTTGTTTGCAGCTGTCGGAGGCTCATCAGGCGTGAAGGAGCAACAGAGGTGGAGGTACAGAGAAAACGCTGTTTATAAATGAATGTGATGAATGTCCTTATCTCCCGTTGGTCAATGTGCTGTGAGGTGTGTCCGGGGCTCTCGTCTGTGCGTAAAATCCAACCATTGCGCATTTCTCTGTGGGTGCGCATGTCAGGTGAACACTGCAGTTTGGACAAATGTTGTCTTTCTGTATTTTAAAGGTTGATTTCTAACACGGACTCACTGTTTGTATTTCATAACTTTAGATTTGACTTATTTCTTCTTCTTCTTCTTCTTCATAAGCAGAGACAGTTACAGATCATGTTCAGACACGAATGAACTAAATTAGCTTCGACGTTGATTTGTGTTTGGGTCCATCGCAGACAGGACACTGCTGTAATGTATGTTTGTCTCGTTTGGATGAAATGGTTGATATCAAACATGCTGTGGCCTCGGTTTGCTTCTGCTGTGCTCTGCGTCATCAACAGACCCAAGGGCGTCTGTGCCATTTTCTCATCCAGGCCCCCATTTTGTTGACATGATGTCATTACCTGCCTCCCTTCATTTTATTCTGCTGGAGGAGCATCGCACTTTGATCGAGATTTGAGGAGAGTTGTCTTCAAATCCTGCGTTTGTCACATTATCGATCTGCAAATGAGAAAATGGAGGATTTTATTCTTATGTGACTGAATTAAAGTCTCCGACAGGGCCGTGCACAGACATTTTGAGAGGGCAGGTGCTTCAGTGAAAGAAAGGGCCCCCCTCAGATAATTACTTGTATAAATAAAGTGCATCTTAACACGTGTGTCTGTACACAGGAGGATGTTTAATACTCATCAACATTATTTACACATTTTTAATTCAGCATTGATGCCATCATGGGCCGGAATAAAAAACTCATTTACATTTCGAAAAAGAAATTGAAATATATAAATAGAGAAAAGGGGATTTATTGAGTCGGACAGATGTTTGAGCACAACCTGGAGTTTACGTAGCTGCTCTCCAACATGTATGTTTTCATTCTGTTGGGTATTTTATGAACCTGTTGGGATTCTGGAAGCTTTTTCTCACATCAGTGCTCCGTAGAAAATTATCTTTTTTTAGGAAAGAAGAATAAAATGTGTGTTAAAGCCTTTAAAAGCATGAAAACACCACTTCCTTCATTATAGTCAGAAAATACATATTAATACTCGTAATACTCATACTTTGGACCTTTCTGTCAAACATTTCATTTATTTCTCCTCGAAGCTTGTTGATGTCTGACAACAGATTTTGTCCCCGTGTCCCAGAACATGTCACTCATTGGAGCGGGTTGTGGCCCAGAAGAAGGAGGCCATCGAGGCAGTGATGGACATGTTTGACAAGGGGGCAGAGGTGTTGGCCAGCGCCGTGGGCGAGCTCTTCCCCCTCTGTGAAGCCGCCGCCCCGGTTCTCCGCCTGGCCCTGGACAACGTCCACAGCAAAGAGGTCTTTTACGTCAAAGAGCAGTTCCTGGCGGTGCGGAACAAGCTGGACGTGCTCTCCACGCAGCTGGAGGACATAGACTGCGAGATCAAGAAGGGGAGGCTGGACTCTCAGTACTTCTCCGTGGAGGAGAACATCAGGAACCAGTTCAGGAAATACATGGACATCCTGGAGGCGAAACAGCAGTTCAGGGAAGTGAAGACGCGTCTTTTCCTGGAGCACTTTGCTAAAACAGGGGGAGAGAAGAACCTGTTTGTGTTATATGATGCTCTAATGGGCACTAACAGCTTTGGAGAATCAGTTTTAGAGTTGGTGGAAAGGTAAGCTGTTGTTTTCATCATGTTTATATCACTGCATCTCCTCCTTTGACTCTGACTCTACTTTGGATTTCAGTGTATCAGGATAGAAATATCTCCTTTGTTTTCAGGTACGTGGCGAGGAACCGCCGTCTCCTGGAAGAGTTCTGTGTCCGCATGAAGGAACTCTTCTGTTTGGGCCTGATCGCCCTGCTGGGCCACTGCGCTTTAACCCAGGGCCAAGAGGAGGAGGAGGACAAAATCCAAGAGTGGAGCCGCAAAATTGAAGAAGTAGAGTCCAGGATGAAGACAACCATCGAGGTCTGCACCGCTGCCTTCCCAGAGCAAGCCAAATTAGACGCCCAGCGACTCCTGCAAGAGAAGGAAGAAGAAAACCTGCAGGACACGACTCAGCAGCTCCTGCAGCTCTTGGTGAAAAAGTACGATTGGGTCAGCTGGTCGGTGCGGCTCATCAACCACTCAGGCAGCACGTACCGCAACTGGCGAGCAGGGGAGCACTTTCACCATGTGGCCGGACAGAACTGGTTCGAGGTGCTGCAGGTGAACAACATCAACCTGGTGGTGTCGTACAGCGTCAAACCGCAGCCGGTGCCCCGCGACTGCATCCGGCAGGTGATGGAGGGTCAGGGGAAGAAGGGGAACGCCCCCGCGGTGGTGGAGGTGTTGGAGAAGCAGCTGTGCGGGTTTGTTGTTCACGCCGTCAGTCGCCACAAGGAGTCTGCAGCTGCCTGGAGCTTCCCAGAGGAATGTCACTACTGGGAGAGACACAAGAACGTGGCCGTGTGCGTGCACTCCGAGTAGAGCTGTTCAGATGGTGTAGGTTTGTGTTGCTCGTCCAACTCCAGGAGTTTATCAGGAAAACTTGAAAGTACTTTATTTTAATTCAGTTCAAAATACAGTTTTAGTCGAGCATAAAGTAAAGCTCGAAGCTCAACCTGACAAAGATGCTGAAAATGTCACAATGTTACAGAAAGTTTGAGAAAAAGAAAATCTGGATGATCTGGATCTGCACCAAAATGTAACGGACTCTCCTCCGACCCATAATGCATCACTCCAACAAGCTTTGTGTTAATCCGTCCAGCAGTTTTTGTGTAATCCTGCTGACTAACAAACTAACAAACTAACGCAGACAAAAAACATAACCATCGGAGGTAATTAAAATACATTGTGAAGTAAAAGACCCTGAAAGTATGAAGTACTTTAAATTAAATACATTCAAACTTCAACCTCCAATATCAGAATCAACAACTGCCCCAAAAACCTCTCATCAGTCGGGCTCGAGTATTATCTGGTAGTGGTACTATAGTATCAGTAGTATCAGCCAATACAGTGTTTACCTATGATATTCAGCTTTGCAGTGCAATACCTATCAGGTACATATTATACAGATCTTTTACTGAATGCACTTTTATTATCCGTCAGTCTTTTTACAGTAGATGTTTGAATTATGGACGTATCCTGTAAATGTATTTATTAATTCACGCTGCAGCTGTTTAAATATTAACTGCTCGCATGTTATAAACCGCGTCGCTGTGTGTGTGTGTATTTGTAGTTTTTGAGTTCCTGACCAGTTTGTTTCCAACTAAAAGAGTTTCTATCGATACACGTGAAAACAGGGAGCGTCTTTATGCTTCTCCTGCACCTCAGCATCTCGGTCATAACCCATCCTCCTGTGAGAAACTGCTTCTGCTCTGAAGAGAGGATTTTTGCTGAGGCTGCATCTGCAGAGCCGTGCTCCCATTTTGTCTCGGCTCAGCAGACTGGCCCATTTAACTCTGACAGGAAGCGCAGAGGTTACTTTTTCAGGCACGAGAAACAAAGAGGCTGCGAGTTTGGCGCCGGAGACGTGACAATGTGCCTTGTGTTCCCCGACACATTCAGACCCACTGATGCCGGACCGAAGCTCCTGAACCTCAGAGCCACTGCTGCCTTCAACTGCCTCACGGGTTGTGTTAGATTCCAGAGATCTCAACTGCAAGATTCTTCATTCGTACTTTTTATTTTTGCAAACGTTTGGTGATAAGTGACGACTGCTGTGTTTGTTTTACTTTCCCCAACTAAACACGAGGATTGTTTATGTCCAGTTTTCGACCTGTGTGTGATGAAACAAGTTCTTTCTGCGTGTTTACTTTTATTTATTTGATTTCTCTGTACGTTTGAAAATCACATCATTTGTTTGTCATCTATCAATCTGCTGTCGTGTGAGGGACAAACCAATAGTCAGGAAAGAATGGATGGATGGGAGCATTGGTTCGACTCCTGACTGGCTGGACATGTCTCTCACTCCATGTCCTGTGTCTCCTTCTCTGTAACTATCACAATAAAGACAAATAATCCCCACAGTTGGTCACATTCAATCTCTAAAACCAAAGAAATCCTCATAATACAAGCGTCTGATCGATGGACGGATTCTTTTTATGCCTTATGACAATTATTGACAAATTACAAATAATTAATGGACGTGCGAACAAGCATAATCTAATATCTGTCTCTCTTTTCTTGTACAAATGTGATTTACGCAGCACTGTTAGTGTCGCTGCCCATTAAAACCAGGCAGTGCTCCCTCAGCAGCAGCGACTCCGACTAATTTAATGGATATTTACACATAAGTCAGCATTTCCTGACCGCAGCTCCACTCTCACGGTCCATGAATAACCTCTGGCCGAGCTAATATCCTGCAGACGAGCAGCAAAGTGCTTGGCTTTGCAGAAAGGTGCATCAGTCATAAAGCCTGGTGTAGGTGCAGAGCGGGCGGCCATCATGTGATATCTCAGAGGATCTGGAGGGTCTGTAGCTGCTCTGTCGTAACACAAGCCTGCCAGAATGCATCAGCTTTTATCTGTGACACACATCGCAGTGCAGGAGGAAGTGGAGTGTGTTGAATCATCGTTTCTCTCTGTGTCTGCAGAGGAACGATGGCGGCTGCCGGAGGGATGAGGTTTGAGGTTTAGAGGCGTCGCTCATGAAAAGGAAGCAGATTTGTGCTTTGAACTGATTTTAAGCCGAAATCATTTGAATTTTAAATGAAGGTGATGTTCCAGAAAAGTGCTTTTTTGATTTTCCCGTACATCCAAATTATTCATGAATAATGTTTCAGTGATCGAATCACTGGTTTCTTTTCAGCGCTGAGGCCTCAGCGGAGAAATGTGTGTTAAATAATGTGTTTTGGGACAAATTCAAATTTTAGTTGTTCTGCAGCTTTAAAGAAATAATTTTGGAAGATACACATGCACTCTTTAATTCTGAGAGAGAAACCAGAAGGACATTTGTTTTATTATTATTATTATTATACTAATGTCCTGATTTATTTTTATTTTTTGAATTGAAAAATCCTCCTTTGCTAACTGGAAACATCTCCGTTCCCCCCCGATGCAGGAGGAACGTGGTACGGCCCAATTAGCAAACATTAGTATTTATGCAGATCTGATGCAGCTGAGTCTCTTTTCATGGAACAGCCAGGAAACGACGACCTCTCAGAAATGGTAACTACAAGAAAACTTTTAGACTAATATCACAAAATGGACGAAGGAAGTTAACTCAGTGTTTGCACTAAAAATGAAAAATGTTTTGTTTAAAATTGCAAATAAAAGTGAGTACGTTATTTGAAACCAATATCAGAATCAAGTTTTGTTCAAGTGGTTTTCTGGTTCAGTGTTTCCATCCCTGTTCTTCATGAAAAGATAATCCCACTGACTGTTATAATGAATGTAGAGTCATGAAAGATAATCGTGTCCTATTTCAAATATAAAACTATTTTATTTGCTGAGCTTTGGAGACATTGTGAGTTGTATATTTGGACATTGGACGAGTCGTGTGAAGTTTCCTCTCGTTTCAAGTCTTTATGTGAAACTTAGCTGTTCGTCCTGACAGACAATTTAAACGTCTAACGTCTCGACAAGGTGAACGTTCTACAAAAAGATGCTCTGTGTGTTTACATCGTCCTCAGAAGACGTGTGAACTCTGTCTTCTTGCGTGTTTGTGTTTTATAGTCAGAATGTGTAAAAAAAAACACAAACGCTGTAAACAAAATGTGTTTTTATGTGTTTATCATCTTATATTTCCAAAACAACGAAGTCCAAAGAAAACCAATCAGATGTGTCCGTCATATAAATAATTCCAAACTCATAAGAAAGATCTGTATTGTCTAAGAAGTGGTGTTTTTGTCCTAGTGAGAGATAAAATTAACATTTGACAAGTTGACATTAAAATCTACTGTGTAGAGCAGATTGTAAAATTCTGTCAATGTAAATGATATAATTGTTCTGAGCTGCAGAGTCACAGACGTCCCCGTGCACCTGCCACCTCGTTGGCATGAGGCCTTTCTTATAATTAAATCCCAGACAGGTGACTAACGTGCTGCAGCAACTTTTACATCTCAGTGCTTCCGCTGAGAAAACAGAAGATGTGGAGCAGACAGTCCACAGACAGGCGTGCCAGACGACAGCTCAGTCCTCAAACACACCACAGAACGACAACACAGATGTCGTAACGCAGCGCGACAAACAAAAACCAGAAACTCACCAGTGTGACAGCTGCACCTGCAATAATCTTTATTTATTCAGCTCTTGTCAAATGGAGGTTACTTAGTGCTTTAGGTAGAATAATGGAATGTGGTCCAACAAAATCTTTTTAAGCTTTGATTCAAAGAAAACCACAGACTCATCCTGCCCCCGGAGCCTCTGAGCTTTAATTTCAAAAGCTCCGTCCCCTCTCGCCTTCAGCCGAGGATCTTGAACAGTTAAAAGGCCGCTGCCAGAGGATCTCGACCTTTAAATCATTCCCACAACCTGCTGGAGGTTGTTGTAAAGAGGCTGAAACCATGGTGATGTGGTCCAACCTGTTTACTCTGAGAGCCTGGCAGCTGAGTTCTGTGCAGATTTTCCATTTGTTTTCTTCTTCTCATAAACTGTCATCATTCCAAACTCGTCAGCTTTAATGGTAAACTCAAGGTTGTGCATGTGTCTGTTGACTTTGATATTATTTCAAGGAGCTCTGTGTATTTCCCCTGGTTGTCGTCCTGTGTAGACATGAAGAGCAGTGGCAGCCTGCACTGTAAGCCAGTGGATTCATTAGTGGTTGTGTGGGCTTTGCCGAGGTAACAACTATTGATCCAGGAGGCTCTTCCTCTCCGTAAAAGGCTCTGGCTGTGATAGCCCGTCAATCCTGACCGGCATCAGAAGACTGAAGCTCCTGTTTACTGATGAGATCCACTGCCTCCATCTCCAGGAGCTTGTTCTGCGGTTGAGGGAAGAAAGGTTGAAGAAAAGTTTTCTGAAAGGAAAAGGGTGAAATGTGGTGAGGTACCAGAGGGCGTTAACAGACAGAGGGCGCTGTCAACACACAGCTCCAGAGTCAGATCTTTGAGCGTCTGTTGCCAGGATGAGATTTAAAAATGTGTAAATCTGCTTTTTGTGGCTTTGAATATAAAGATGGCCTTTTTTATTTCCACTCTTTATCTTTCATATTTAGTATTTATGTCACATTAGGCTGCTGAAGACTGTCCTGTGTACAACCTTGAAAGAATAACGATAAAGAAAAGGAAGGGAGTGATCATCGCCCTCATACTGAAGCAGGTACACGTGTTTCCCTTTTCTCTGCTGAGACTTTAATAAAAATAAGAGAGAAAATCCAACTACTATCTTTTCCCCCCGTCTTTCCCCAAACACTCTTCTTTCCATCAAGCTACATCTCTTCGTCTCTAAGAGGAGACAGCAGCCAATATCAATATTTCATAAACAAATGAAAGCCTGGATATGGAGGCGAGCGTGGAAGTGGCCCTGGAGGGGGAGAGGGGATCAATGGAGGGATATAGCTGCGTACGCCGGTGTCTGCCAATCCCGGCCCACGCAGGATAATGCCATTACCCATCAGCCCGAGTGAACATCGACCAGCCTGCTGCTCTTTGAGTGAACTAATCTGATAAAAAGCCTTAAAACATTTGTTCAGTGACACAGCGGCTGCAGGTCCGAGCCCAGGACTGAGGCCTGACACGACGCCACAGTTCTACTTGTGTTATGTTGTATTAGAGTATATTAGAGTTGTCTGGATGCCACAGTAAAACATTCTGGATCTGATAAAGGTCGACTTGGTGTGGATATATATATATACATATGTGTGCGCTTGGCTGATGCAACCTCAAAGTTCTTGATCCTCTTGTTCACGCTCATCTGTGCTTTTAGCAAACGTCCTGTTTCTTGCAGAAGCGAGAGCAGATGGTTTCCTGTGTCAACCAGACTACAGGTGGCCTCAGTGTTCATGCTCTTATTCAGTTACAGTTCTCTCTTATGTTTCCTGTCTATCACACTGTATCAAAACCTGCTTCTTTCGCTGTTCGAGGTTCCGCTCTGAGCGTGAAACCCTCTGCAGAGCTCCGTTAAAGACGTTAAAGACAACTCCGGTCTGAGAAACTCTTCGTTTCACATGTCGAGATACATTTCCATCACGCTGAGGTCTTTTAATGCGGCCCCCATGATGGGATGCTGCTACTTCACCAGCTGAGCAGGTGTTAAATCTGAACAATATATGAGAAGACAGCTCAAAATAAAGGGCCCTGTTCGAGCTGCCTCACTGACTGGGTTATATACATCCTTTATATTAATCTATGTCAATTATGTCAGTTATCCGAGAGTCGGATTCAAGGCTCTGAAGGATGCTGCACCCCCAAACACGGACATTTCAAACTACAAGTGTGAAGGTTTGAAACCAGCATGGTGCCACGACCTTACGTATAAAACAACTGTCAAAGAAGTTCTCATTGATTAAACCATTAACTTTCTCAACCAGAAATAAAGGTGAATATTCAAGACCATGATACAATTCTTTAAAAGATTTAGTTTTTGTAAATTCCATTTTTTCCTCTTTGTATTTTGTGTTTCTGTTTCTGCCTTCGCTGACATGTAACATTTGTTTTAGATTCTAACTTCTGGCCTCCAGCATCATTTTATGTCCACGTGTGTCTGTGTACATCTGCTTTTATTCTGAAATTCTGCATTTACAAACTAGTTCCGTGTTTGTGAAGTTGTCTCATCCAGCGAAAATGTCAACAATCATTCAAATCGTCCTAATTCGCCTGTGAATTGATAAGTAATGTTAAAAACGGAGCGTACGGATGCAGATCAGTTTGAATGTCAGGTTTTTATTTTTTTTACCTGCTGCAGAAGGAACCTCTGAGGATTCATCTGTCAGCAGAGCCTTTAAGTGGAAATCCACCGGGTGGTGAACACGTGTCCTGGCCATCTGCAGAATTTCCCTCATGTTTTCCAACTCGTCCTTTTCTTCTCCCCCGATGCCCCTCGCTCTCTCACCCTCGTCAAGGTCTTGTGTAGTTTCACCCCCCCACACACACACACACACACACAGATTCCTCTGATTCGCAGCAGGTCATCGTTCCCGTCAGAGCTGAAGAGTCTCAGAATATTAATGTTTCTCCTTGTTTATCTCTGACCTTCACTAACATGACTCTGCGTCTCTGCTGCATCCATCTGTCTCTCCTCGTTTGTCATCTGCAGCTCTCTACCTCTCTGTCTGGCTTCTCTCATCCTGTCGTTCTTTGTTTGGACAAAAGTCTGAGAAACGCAACAACTCCTGCAAAAGAAAGGACGAACACTTGGCACATATTGTTGCGATCAGGGCATCGTGGATTTAAGTTGCATTCTTATGTTGTTGGTTTCAATCTGGCGAATAACTCCAGGAATGCTGTTGTGTATTAAAAGAAACTGGAAATCATTAAGTGCAACAAAAAAATAAAATCCCCTTTTCTTTGGCTTCATCAGTAACAGCCATTAATGCGTCTGGTTGTGCAACATGAACATGATGGGGGGGGGGGTTAAGTGAAGTTGTGCGTAATGACCACAAGGGAATGAGTAACAGCGTGAGAAAGAGAGAACCAGGAAGTGCCACGTCACACAGCTCCGGTGCTTACACTCACAATCTGCACCGACTCCTCAGAGGAGCAGCAACGCGCCGAGAGGATCAGACCCAGGATCAGATTTATCATGTTTCACCTGACACATGTTGCTGTAACAACATAAACTTACGTTTGTTAGACTCCTCAGATTTAGCTCCTCAGCAGCAGATCAAACTGAGATGATTGTTTAGCTTGATGGGATTTAACTTCATTGTTGCCATGGAGATAAAGTCATCAACATTAGCTGTGTCTCAGCTCAGCGGCTGTGAAATGAGATGTTCCGGTCGACAGGAGCTTCGTCAGATCGAGGTCGGACACGGCTGCAGAGCTCTAACGCCCCTCGTGAACCGTTCTCTGTTGGTTTGAGTTGAAGCGTGATGTTCCGGCATCGGTCGGGTTCTTGGTTCTGCTGTGACACACACACATGCAGCAGTGGAATGTTAGATCTGAATATCAATGCACTTGAAATAAAGGTGATCAAATTGAGAGGTCGTGCTCAAACTTGTGGCTTCGTCACCAGGAACTGTTTGTGTTGATATAGTTTTTAATTCAGCGTCGGGACTGGTGTCTGAATCGGATGTGGCTTTTTCTTGATTTGACTTTTTTGTGTAGGAGTCCTCTGTGACTAACACCGTGTGGTTTTGTGATGCTGTAATTTTGGGAGGAGGCCGACGGTGAACATTTAGGGAGGTACGCCAAAAACACACACACACAGTCATAGTCATAGTCATAGACCCCCAGCTGTTTGTTGTGAAATACACTGGTAAGTGCTGTATTGATCTGCTCTTTAAAACACACTCCGTCCTCTGCATTATCGTCTCTTTCGGTCCCGGAGGTCTCCACATGTTATGATACATGTGTTCTGATGTTGAGGTGAACAAATTAAAGCCAACCAATAAAATTAAAAGAAACAAAAAATAGTTCGTTAGTGCGTCTCAGATAGAATTAGAAGATAACAGTGGCCCTGTCCTGTCAGTACTTTTTAACTACTCGCTTACAAACAATATTAACAATGAATGATAATGTGTTAATAATTCATATTTTCTGAGTGTTTTTGAACCTCACTGAATCAAGCATTGTTTATTGATGTTGGTCATATAATTGGCCCCTCTGTGTAAATTGTGGCCCCTTTATGGCCCCTGAGAAAAATCCTAGATCCACCACTGGCATCCGTCCTGTCAGAGACAAGCCTGATTTTAGATTCTCAACTTTCCCATCAGATGTTCATGCTTTTGTGTTTTGTTGTGTTTGCTTATTTGTCGTCGTGCTCGGCACAAGACGTCTTCCTCGGACAAGAATAAGATTAAACCAAAATGTCTGCCAGCATGAGTAATTGGGTTTCCAATTGACGTGGAGCTTGAAGGTGGTTTGACTCACTGGTGTAAGGGCAGAGACGGACACGGGGGTGAATTTGCCTGCGATCAATAAGCCCCCTCCTCCCAGCCTCCGAACCTTTTTCTGTTTCCTCAGATCTAACTGGAGTTAATATCGATCCTCTTGAGTGACAGATGGGCTCGTGCCGAGGCCGACGGTCGGCCTCTGGGCTGCTGGAGTCCCTGTTGTGCATACAGATCGTTGGTGCGTGACTCAGACGGGTCAAAGTTCGGCTGTGTTGTGGATCACGAGGAAACTGTTCATGGCAGCTCAATAAAAAGAGGGCGAGGAGGCGATTAGTGACAAAAGGTGGATCGTGACACTGTGAATCTAATAAGAGGTGAAATAAAAGGAGATTAATGATGATAAGGAAGTTTTTCTTTTGGGGGAGATAATCAATAATAATGTAGATTTCTCTGCTTTTAAAATGAATCAAGGTAAAACATGATCTCATTAGGACTTTATACCCACTGCTCAAGTTCTAGCATGAGATAAGATCATCAACGAGGAGCTGATAGCAGCTCTGTCACTTTTAGTTTCCACAAAACTGCCCATGATACTCTCCATCCGTCCCTGCCCTCTCTTCTAGTGTGTCGCTGAACGCCCGGTTCACTGTGACCCGGAAACATCTGGCGGGCAGAGCGGGAAACCCAGACTGAAAACACCTTCAAACCAAAACCATGAGGCGTTCCTGTGACAAAACATCTGCTGACATCATCTCGAAACATTTCACAAAGGACAAATTTAGAGACGAAGAGGAAGCGACAGAGCTGAAATTTCAGTCTTGGTGTTGAGACTGAAATGTTTTTTTTCCCGGTCAGAGAAGCGACGGTGAAGTTGAAGCTGCAATAATCAGATTTTAAAGTGGAAATGTTCGACACGAGTCACTCTCAGCTAACATCCAATAATTTACACCAAACTTACTAGAAATATAAGCACGAACTTGTGACCCATGTCTCATCTGCTAACATGGATGAGGCAGAGTTTATGACCTGAACTGCAGCCAGCCAGCAGGGTTGGTAAAGACTCCTCCAGTTTCTCCCTGAATGATTTAAAACCTGGAGATTTGAGGCCTCGACTCTGACTCGTGGATCCTGACACATCCCGTCCAGAGTCCAGGTGTGAGCAGAGTTCAGAAGTTTATTCTTCTTTTCTTCTCTCATTCACTCACGTTGTTTCCTGTTGGTTTGATGCCGATATTGAATTAAAGATTTATCGTCACTTTTTTATGTCAGCATGCTGCAGAATTCACATTCATCAAACTTGTAGTCACGAAATATTTGCATTGAGCAGAAGTGAACGACAGTTTGACTCTCGTCGTGGCAATTCTGCAAATCCCACTCTGACAACGAGGAACGTGGCACTTTAATGCTCAGAGGTTAGTTTGTAATACGCACGCCGATGGGAAGCTGTTCTCTCTCTTTATACATTTGGCTCGTTGCTCTGGTTGAGGTTGTTTCTGAGCTAAAGGTCCGGATCTTCTGGGCAACGATGCCTTAGTTGAGGCACTCAGGTCAAGATTCAATCAGTTTCACAGGATTCAGCATCATCGAGGTCGCATTGTAAAGATTCAATCACGCTCAATCATAGAGGAAATGAACATGAGTACATTCTGCATGATCAACGTGTAACATTTCCCTCACACT